TTCTAACGAACGTTTTATTAATTATTCAATAGTTTATGTAGGAGTAATCGAAGTAAATTTTAAGGACAAGATCTATGGACAAAATATTCTAACGAACGTTTTATCAATTATTCAATAGTTTGTACAAGTGTTAAGGTCAAAGATCTATGAACAAAGTATTCTAACGAACGTTTTACTAATTATTCAATAGTTTGTGTAGGAGTAATCGAAGTAAGTTTTAAGACAAGATCTATGAACAAAATATTCTAACGAACGTTTTATTCATTATTCAATAGTTTTATATAGGAGTAATCGAAGTAAGCTTTAAGGACAAGGTCTATGAACAAAATATACTAACGAAGGTTTTATCAATCATTCAATAGTTTATATAAATTTCTCTTTTATTTTAAATTATATTTAATAACATCGCTATAATCATTATTGTTGTTGTTTATTGTTCTAATCATCATTTACATATGTACATAGGAATAAATGTAAAAGAAAAATTAATATATTTATTTAACACTTGATGATCTTCAAAAATCATATGACTGTAAAATTTTTATTGACTTGCACCATACCTTCGAAACTACCTTTTAACAATAAACCAAATGTCGAAGAAATTAGTCTAATAAATTAAATTGTGCTACTTGAAGATGTATTTAAAGGGTTGGTTTTTGACTTGGTCGAAGGACAACTCTCTTTCTAACTCTTCTCTTGACCATATCTCTTGATATAACTTCGAAATTACCTCGATATAGCAACATAAACGAAATGATTGTCGATGAAGTAAACGTGACCAATTTAAGAGACAAATTTATTTAATAAAACAACTCAAAATGATTTTTTTGAATGTTCTAGTAAAGTTTCCATTGTTGCCACATCATCCCGTTGTTGGTTCAACATTACCCGAAGTTTAATTTAATCGTTTTCTTACGTTAAATATCACATTATGAAATAATTAATTAATATGACGAAACGTAACACGAATACAAATATCTTTTATTTTAAAAAAAAAAAATTACAATTAATGTATTTAATAGAATAGCAATACTAAAATGAAATGCTATGAGCCATTCCTGAAGAAAGTCCATAGGTGGTATATTATCATGGTCATTGAACATTGTCCGAATTCGTGCTTCACGTTCACAGTCCCGTTTTTTTTATAAAGGTCATGGTATTCCTCGTAAAATCGATTCTACATCAAGCTCAACTCGATTTTGTTCTTTTTGCAATTCCTTTATGATTTTGTAAACACCTAAATGTGCAGTACCTACTGAGGCACCCCATCTTCGATGCCAAGCCTCTACAAAATTTTGAGTTCGTGGAAATGCATAATCGATATTATCAACGACTGATCAGAAGTCAGGTGGAAATAATGGTGGTGCTCGAATTGCATTCCCATGTCTTAATGTGCGTCTTGTTCTACCATGCACATAGTACTCTTCGAACCATTCTACGATTTCGTTAGCCTGTGGAGGGATATCATCCTTTAATTGATCAAATGCTGCAGGAATGTCGTCAGAGGCAAGAAAGCAAGTGCAGGAATGTGTCTAATTTTTAAACTGAAATTTTCGTCAGTCCCATATTGAACACTAAGTCCAGAAGCTTGTACTTTCCGGTAAACACTCTGAGCCAAATGGAATAAACATCCCTCATTTTGGACACCTTGAAATTCTCTACGAGCAGCATTGATGACTTGCTTGTTGAAATCAGTTAAAATAAATTGTGGTCGGCCTTCATATTACAAATTAAAAGATGCACAAAATTTTGGAAAAAAGTACAATAAACGAACACATTTCTAATTGTTTAATAAATCAGATATATTTTATATTCTTTCGAGTTAGCAAGTGATCGGTAACAATAACCAATTTGATTTTAAAATTAAATACTAACCAAAATTATCAAATCTAAAAAAATAAACAAAAAAAAAAATTATTATTATTATTGTTTTTTAAAAAACAAGTTTATATATAAAGCATGCATAGTTATGATGCTAGCCAAAAATTGACAAGTATTTATTTATTTATTTAACACGATATTATTAAAGTATACTTTGTAATTAAAGCACAAAATTCGTCTGATAGCTTAATTGTAAGGTTTCTGGTCTAATATACCTACCTCTATATAAAAAACGTTGAAAAACCCAAATCGACAAAATAGTTTGAGCTTGAGAAACAGTTTGGGCTAGAAACCTTACTTGATTGTCAGACCCATTTAATCATACGATTTTAATAATATCAAAAACTAATTTTCAATTTAATGATTTAGCGTAACATATGCATTGCACTGTTTAGTATCTACTACTACCATTTAATTTATTTATTATTAGTATAATTTGCATTTGTATGATTGTAATTAAGAAAGAAATTTGATATTATACATTCCTGATGGAATTCAGAAAATTCAGCTAAAATCAGAGTGCTAATTAGTTTGCAAGTATACGAATGACTCAAATTTATGCATCATGAAAGAAATATTACCAATTTGTCTGATCCACATACTCTACTAAAAAACAATAATTATTATCAATACTAAAATACTCAATGTCAATATTTTTGCCATCACTATCATCACCTCATTTATCATTAGTACGATACATAAGCCGACGAAATGAACTTTCGACAAAACAAACTTTCGACAAAACAAACTTTCGACAAAATGAACTTTCGACAAAATGAACTTTCGACAAAATGAATTTCGATGAAATGAGCTTTCGACGAAATGATTGTTGATGAAGTGATTGTCAACGACGAAATGGGTGTCGACGAAAATGATTTTCGACAAAGTAAATGGGACCGAAAAAATCTTTGTACAACACTATTGTACACTTTTTTTAAAAAATGTATAGTAATAGTATAATAATAACCCTCGTTTCAACGGAGTGGCTGGACATATAAGAATTTTCATTTAAAATCTGTTGGAGCGAAATTACTAATCACGTTTCAACGGATTTTTATATGTTTCATAATATGTAATTATAATGGTAACAAACATTTTTAAAATCCATCGAAACGCGAATTTAATCATAATCTGTTGAAACAAGGGTTATACTGTAAAAGAGCAACGACATGCAATCAAAAAGGGCAGGAAAGTGTTAACTATTATCAATAATGGTGGTTATTGCCACTTGTCCTCATTCTAGTTATTAAAAAAAAAAAGCGGTTATCATCATCACTTATCACCATTCTAATTATTTTTGAACTTTTTTTATTTGATTTCTGAATGGTCATCAACAACTACTCCAAAATGTAAAATTCCAAGTGAAGACAATGGTGCTTCTTCGAACAGCAAAAAAAAGTCATTAAATTAAAATTAGGCTATATAAAAAGTTTTTCTATTTTTCGGCAAAGAAGCACAAAAAACAATCGATTCATTTGGCCGAGTTATAGAATATGAACAGTCAAGATGGACCAATAATTAATCTCTGCAACACAGAACTTGACTTTAATGGTGAAAGAATAACAAGAAAAATTGACACTGTTGTTAGAGCCCGTGATGAGTCCTTTTTCTCATGCGATGCATGTCGACATTTAGCAGCAGTGGATGCTTCTCTTGTTCGTGAATATATTTTAGATCTAGAGATGCGATCTGTGGATGATCAATCCGGATTATCTGGACCATCCGTTCAATTCTACGGATTCTACGGATTACCCGCTGAATGATGATGATTTAAAAACATTTGAGGAATTTGAAAACAATATATTAGTTGATAAAAACGAAGTAGGAAAATATCAATCAATTCATTATTACTAACTCTAATTCCAATATGAAATATTAATATAAAATTTGGTGATACACTTATGCTTAAACTTGGTGAAGATGATCACAATGTTGGCCATAAACAGAACCATGTGATATTTACTGTTTGTCTTCTAAATCAAAGAGAAGAGATGTTAAAGCCAGAGAATCAGTATCAGTCATTAAAGAAGCAATGTTAAATTTAATATTAGTAATTTATAATATGAAATGATCTAATTATTTCAAGCAATTTATTATTGTTTTTTTAAAACTTTAATGTAAAATATCTCCAAGTTTTGTTAAGTAAAATGGGTATGATTTCTAAGCTAAGATTAATCCTTGTGATTAATTACATATAGGGATGCAATCAACTCAAAATTATGATTTTTGAATGTTTGGTGTGTTTCTATTGTCCATGCCCATATGTTCAGGTTCAAAAAAGTGATTATATATATGCTTGAACCAAACCAAACTGAACCTAGGAGTACTAATCTAGCATAGATACCCAAAATTTAACAACTAGGTTCTTTGGAAGTTAACTACTTAACAAATAACTTTAATATTTATAAAAATAAATAAATATTGTATTAATTGTAAACAAAATTACAAGAAAAATTATTATATGTGTAATAAAATATAAATTTGAATGAATCATTATTTAATAATTTACAAAAAAATAATCATTTGTTTCTTAAAATTCTTTTTTGTTCTCTTCTTCTATGAATCCATCTCAAAAATCTTGAAACCCATTTAATCCATATTGAATAAGTAAACAAGATACACAATATAGAACTACTTATTCCAGTTACAGTCCAGAAATAACTAATAAACAAATATAAATATTAATATATTTTATATTATAAGTTTATATGTGTGAATTTAAATCCTACCTCATTGGATAATAAAGTGCAGCGAAATCCAATTGGAAATTCATTCCAAAATCTAAATAAAGAAGGAATAAATTTTATATTTATTAATTATTTTTATATAATACATGAACATATAATATTTATAAAACTTACACCCAGCAATAAAAGTCATTGGCATAAATACAACACTGATTATAGCAATAATTCTCATGTTTTCATTGGTCTAAAAATTATAAATTATATTAATTATGTGAATTATGAGTTATATAAATAGTTATTATATGATAAAATACCTCATATGCAAGCAAATTAAAAATCTAAATTTAAAAAATAAAAAAAGATTATTCTTTTATTTGAATTAAAAAAACCTTGGATTTTATTACTGATTACTAACCAAATTAACTAAATTCTCTGAAATCTTTGTCATTGTATCCAAATTATCAACAATTTCATTACAATGATCCTACAGTAATAATAATAATAATAATTAGTAAATAATTTTCTTTCTACTCAGTTTCTCTAAATTAATAATAATAACTCACAGCAACATCCATAAAATAAGTTTTTGCCAATGATGATATGAAATCTTTTTTGTCTTCATGTTCTCTCAATAAAGTAACAAGACTTTGAACAGGTCCAAGTGTTCTTTTCAAAAGTACCAACTCACCAGATATCATGTGAAGTTCTAATTAATAAAAGCAATTTTTTTAATTATTATTATAAAGTTATTATAATAACAATAAATATATTTATCAATTATACCATGTGAATAAGTCATTTTAGGTCGTATTAACAATTTCCCTTCTAAATCTGCAATTTGGTGTCTATAAGAATCAACAATTGGCATGGCTCTATAATAATGCATAATAATAATAATAATAATAATAATAATAATTAAGAAAAGATTTTTCTTAATGAAAAATTTTAATAATAATAGACTTACAAATCAACAACTGTATCAATAACAGCTTCCATCAATAAACTTGCATCATGAGCAGTCCTTAATAAAGTTTTTGGTTGATTAATACGTGCAAGAATAGGTTTATAAACAGGTTTTCCATCGTGTTGAAAAATAGTTAATAAAGTTTCTAAAAGAAAAAATTTTTTTTTTAAGATATAATAATGAAAGAAAAATCAAATTATAAAATATTATGAGAATATATATTACCATCTTTAAGCAAGAAAATGCTTACTTGCTCTACGAAAACATTTAATTTAAGTTTTCGTAGTAATTTATGGGTTTCCAAATATCTACTTCCTTCTTGATGACCATGCAGTAAAAAATCTTTACGTGAATTATAACTAAAAGATTTAGCATTTTCTTTCCCCTCAATTATGCTTGAATCATCCCTTTCCGGGTCACTCTCTACATCTTCATTATTAAGAGTATGAAGTAAAAGGGAGATATAAATATGGTTCTGATATTGATCCAGTTTTGTACCTGTTTATTATTATTATTATTATTATTATTATTATTATTATTATTATTATTATTATTATTATTATTATTTCTAAAATGTTTTTTATTTTATGTCTCAAAAATTAACTTACGTCGAGTATTTTGTAAAGCATCCTCAATTGACAATGGGTGCAGATCTTATACATAATATGCAAATAAAATATTTATTATTTTGTGCTTTTAATTATATATATAAATTAAATCATATAAATAATCACCAAATTTAAGTGCAAGTGTTTTAATCACATCCCAAGAAATTCCATTTACATTAATCCAACGAACATTTGTTTTATCTGGACGGTCTTTTTCTAAAAATCCTTCCAAATCCTTATTTGAAAATTTTCCAGAATAAACAACCTCATCTAATATTGCATAAAATATATGTTAATTATAATAATAATATTATTATTACCATTATTATTATATTATTATTATTATTATTTAGATATTTCACCTTCACCAAAATCTGAAACAAATATGCTACATGGATACTAAAAACAATATTATAAAATTAATAATCATTTATAATTAATTAGTTATAATTAATAATAATAAACACACTCACATTTATATCATAATCAACATTTTTTGGATCAATCCCAGGATCTCGTCCAGGTGAATGGAAATTATCAACTAATTATTTATCAAAAAAATTAAAATGTCAATTATTTGTTATAAAAAGAATTACATGTATAAACTTTGTAAATTTTATTTCACCAGTTAGCAGTCTTCTGGCAACAATGACTTTTTTGGTCATTGCTTTCCATTTATTTTTTTCACCTAATAAATAAAAATTGAAGGAAAATATATCGTTTCGTGAGTGTTCCTTTTACCAATATCAATTTGAATTAATCAATTATCGCCCTTTTAAGAAATTTACTGTTAGTATCAGAGATTTCATCTAGTATATTATTTTTTTCAAATTCGACAACCACTGAAGTAGTATCATATTTGTCAGACATGTTTTCCGATATATTCAATTGTTGGATAAAAGGTTTAAAACGACGGTCAACGTGTAAATAAAAGGCAAAACGAGAGAAAATTTTCTTTTACGATTTAATTGAATTGTACTTGTGTAATTTTTATTTATTCACTAATTAGTTAATAACCGTTTTTATTTATAATTGTTACCATTATTATTATGGCTAATATTCCTACACAAACAATTCGAGTAATTCGTATCGATATATATATATATTTATTATTATTTGTTTATACCAAATATGGCACATAAATGGCAATAGTAATAGTTTTATGAGGCACGAAGATACTTTGCAAATATTAAAAACAACGTATGATTATCCATCCAATTTAATTATGGAATTTCTCATCAATAGGTGATGATGATGACGAAATACAATCAATATGCCAACCCCGAAAAACTGGGAATTCAAATTATGATTGACCTTCTTGAGAGCATTACTATTATCTCTTCTCATTCGGATATCTATGACAACCTGTACAAGAAAACAAAGACACTTGTTATAATTGTTATGACTCAATTGACTAAAAATTCTATTGATAATCGAGGCAATTTAGAATTGCTTACTTAACTATATTAAGATTAATATGTATTCTTAAACCGTGCAGCATGCATATCATATACTATTTTTGTATAAATTCATAACCTATTTACTATATAAACCGAAAATTTTCATGACGCCATCTCGCTTTTAATAGGGGACACGGAATTGGGGGAAAATCTTCAAGAATCTTTTATCCCTAATTATAAAACTCCTAATAAAGGGTAAATTATTAAAGAAGGAATTCCAAATTGGTGATGCCGAAGCGGATTAATTAGTATTAGTATTAGCCTTTAAAGTGTTATACTTTGTGTTGCTTTGCTAAGCCCGATTTTTTATTATTTGAAAAGAAGTTCCTATATAGTTGAGAAACTTAAAAAAAAGAATTAATGTGAACCCACTTTACATGACATGTTTGGCAATATCTGTAATTGTGGTGTTCCATGGCTGTTGATCATCAAAACATACATCAATATAACAAATTATTATGTGCGGATTTTTTAGTATCTTTATCATATATTTCAACACATTGTAAATGTTGACAACAAAATTCAACCAACAATATATTTTTTTGAAAACATGTATTATAAAAAGAAATTTCTACTAATTTATCAGTTACAATGTAAATTTTTATGGTAAAATTTAATAATAAATCGAATAGCTTTAAACCATGATAACTTTTTTTTTACATAATAAAATTAAACAAACCTTTTATAGTTTTATTGTTTAAGTCTTCTACAATAAAGTTACAGAGAGCTTTTTTCCCTATCTCGTTTGGTTATAAAGTTTTTCTATTAGCAATCTTTTTTCAATTTCTTTAGAATATATAAAAAAATTTATTTTTTATTAAGCAAGAAAAAAAACTCTCTGTAATCTAAAAGCTTAATCTATTTACTATAATTTCCCTTAGTTTCATGTCTGTATCTCTTTATTTGAAGGCTCTGATGCAATTTTTATTTATATAGTTTTTACATATATTCTTATTTTTTTTAAAAAAAGTTTGTTATTGATCGGCATTATATTACATCACCTAATTTTGATGAATTATTTAATAATTTAATTAATCCAATAGAAAAGGGGTTACAGGTATATAATTCAGAAAATAAAATGTGTAATTAATTTTTATCAACATTTTTTTTTTAGAAATTTGTTCCATTAACAAGCTTCAATCAATGATTTTTTTAAATAATAATTTTATTAGAATAAATTGATGAGTGGGCTTAAAAATTACGATGCCATCTAAAAAGAGGATTTGAAAATGGCACAATACCTTATGTAAATGCAATAATTGTATGCATGTACACAAGAACACCATGCTTGTTACATGGTGTGTGATCAGCTGTTTAAGTTTATTGAAAAATTGATAGCTATACTTCCAGAAAACCTTCTGAACGTAATTGAAGAGTCAAGATATAAACTATATTAACTATATTATTTTTTGGCTCACTAGACAAGAAAATTCTATATAAATAATCAATTTAAAGCAAAGCTTTTAGAACCTGATGAAAATGGTAATTCTAATATGTGGAATCTTACCTAGGAGTGCATGTGAAACCAAGGAGCAGTTTTTTGGAAAGAGAAGATGGACACTTCACATAATTTAATTTTCACAAAAAACCACCTAATTAGAGATTCATACATGTGGTCATTAGCTGATACCAAGCAAGATACTTGGTTTACATTACAGCATCATCTTTCGGTGCAAATTTGAAACATTGGACCCTAAACCAAAATGAATCAAATTTTTTTCAGATAATGGTGGCCACTATCACAATTCTGTGTTTTGATAGCCACTTCTAAGCACATAAAAAAAATCAAGAAAGATGACATCACTTATCATGAAATGCCAACAATTCGTGCTTTGATCACAGATTTTGGGTTGTGTAGAAAGTTAGGCGATTCCAGTAGTTCTTATAATACTGTTACTGGAATTAGATTTGGAAGCTCTTTTGGCCGAAATTAACTAATTCCGCCATTCTTAATTTTTATTCTATCTTAGTTAATTATTATTTTATCCGTAATACGTTTTATTTTTATTTTTTATTAATTATTTGTATAACGTCGTAATTTATTTAACTTTATTAAGGAAGAATCGTCTTTCCAATATTGAAATAACTTTTCAATATTGAACGGAAATTTCAATTTTGAAATATTAGAATTACTAATTAATTAAATTGTATATAAGTAACTTTGTGATAAGTTAATTAGTTTCAACTAAGAAAAACTAAATAAATAAAATAATAAATATTTTATTTTATTTAAAACTTTTATCTTCTTTAAACAAAATTATCCGCTAATCCAAAATCATTCCGATCCACACAAAAATAAAAATAATTGTTATCACCAATTAAAACATGCTCTCCCAAATTTAATTGGTGACAATACTATTAATAACCCAAAGTGGTACTATTGGTTGGAATTATTGCAAATTGGAATCAATGTTACAATATAGAAATTTGTAGGTGAAGCCTGTTGAAGCAAAAATCACTGTTAATTCACATCATGTGAAAGTAAGGTATTATAGTGAAATTTTTAGATATTGCATGCTATAAAAATAGAATCAACAATCAAAGATTTAGGTGGAATTCCAGTTCAAAAACTGTTTCTGGAATTTCAAATCTGTCCTATTTTGAGTGGCCAATTGAAGGCCTAAAGTCAAGGATAAATGGATTGAATGGTATTTTTTTCACATACTGCTTTACAGTTGTAATAAAAATTTGGATCTTTAAAATCGAAGGAATTTAGTTACAAAAGTTTATATTTAAAAAAACTTACATAATTTCGTCTATTAATATTGTTTATTTTTCAAAATTAAAAAAAAAAAAATGAAAAATTAAAATAATTTACAACTAAAATAGCAATAATAATAATAATACTGATAATGTTAATACTGATAATATTAATGATGATAAAATTTTTATTGGGTAGCTGGATGTAAGTGTCGATGCTTTAGCTCAACAGAGATTCATCATATTTCTATTGCTCCTCTCGCTCAAGCTATTCTTGATTAAAATTTTAGATTAAAGGTTGCAGTAGCAACTTCACCGGTTTTAATATTTTTGGCATAAGCTTGAAGTTCTATCTGACCAAATATCATATTAAACTCGATTACTCTATCCATTCCCAAGTGTTGTTGAGGTAAATTCATTTGTAATTGACCCAACAGCTCCATTCCAGGTTCATCACAGTAAGTTGCGTTATCATTTGTAGTTATAAATATTGGAATGGAGAAGACACTTTGTAGGGAATAACTTGGTTTTAGAGTTCTTTTGAACTCTTGATTCACGCCTACTTCTGTACCTCTTTGAACCACCTTACTGAATTTTTGTATACGATTATGTGCAAGTTTGCGTTCTGGTGGATCAATTCCAGCTCGAAATTGTGGCATTAATAAAATACCATAAGTTTTCTTCAATACTCTAGATTTTATTGTTGCCATGTTTATACCATATTCTACTCCTCCTCTAACCACCGCTGCTACTGGCTGTACAGGGACTATCGTTAACAAAATATTAGTATTTAGTTTATTCATTATTTATATTTTTATATGCTTATGTAAAATACCTGATATATTATTAACTTGAGATCGAAATTCATCTCTAATTCTTTTTTGCAAATATTTTGACTCACTGAAACCTCCTACTAAGAACATTGCAGAACATTTACCACTTTTTTTTAATTGATCTTTTATTAATTTAATAATCTTATTAATAACAGGATCGAATGTTCCTTTAATATCTTCAAAAGTCATTTCAACAAGCCATTCATTATCTTCTAATTCATCTTTTTTGTCGCTCGAAATATATTGCTTGAGAACTTTACAAACATCATCAATATCCAACTCAAAACCATCCAAGTCTTTCCTATCGCCTGTAAATGGTATTTTAATTCTTTGACAAAATTCTTGTACCAAGTATTGATATTGACCATAATGATTTTCCTTTAATAATTTGATGGCTCTTTCTCCAACTTTTTTGCCAAGAAAGTCTATGAATTCTAAATCAACAAAACTTCCACCACAAAAACCTCCTGATCTTTCAGTAACTTCTCCTAACGTATCTCCTTCCATTAATCTTCTTGTAGTCAAATCCACTGTACCACCACCACAATCAACAATCATATATGATGCTATATTATAGATATAAATATAAATGCAACATAATAAATAATAATCCAAAAACTATCTTATCGTTTACTAGTAAGGTATAATTCTTTATAATTGGAGAAAATAATTAAAAAAAACTATAAACGCACTTCCTGGTTCTGTAAGTGAATGCTCTTTCAAAACTTTCATACAATGTATTGCTGCGGCCTCAGCTATTGAAAAAAACAAAAATTATATAAATAAAAATATATTATTGTATAATAATTTAAACTTCTTTTCCTCAATAAAAATCATTACTTACGCTCAGTTGTAAATTGTAAATTTTGAGTATTTTTAACATTAATTAGCTTTGCATTAAATGCACATTCTCTCATTGTAGCAATAGCTTGTTCATTAAATTCTAATATAGGTGCAAATAAAAATATAATATATAAATATAGTATATATCAGATAATTATATTACTTAATAATATATTTACAAACGTATAAAGTAATGTTATGATAAATATTTTACCTGCTGGAACTGTAAGAACTAATCGAACATTTTTATAGAAATCAATTCCTGGCCATCTCATCGCAACTGTGTCTATAATTAACTAAAATATCATTAATTAACACCTTTAATAACAATAAAATTAACTAGTATAGGTTTTCTTTTTATAAAAAGATTTAAAATTTACTTTTCCTAATAAAATGATAGTCATGATAAAGGAAAAATTAGGAAATTATATTAAAAAAAAGAATTAAATTTTAAAACAATCCAATAAAGAAAATTCGATATTTACCAATCTGTTCAAGGTAATCGGATATGACACGTTTATGACTTAAATCTCCAGGCAATTTTGTTTTTTGATGATCAGGCACATTACCTAAATGCAATTTAAACAACTCTGCAATTACTTTTGAAGTGTTTAGATTATTATTTCTTCCTCTACGTTCACGTTTTGCCAATGCAGGCTGTCCCCATGCCACAACCTTTTCAAATGAATCGTTATATTGAAGCACAGTATTGGTTTTCAATCTACCAGAATAACCTGTCCATGTTTCATTTGTTACGATCTCAGGGTTGGCTAAGTTTGCATATGCGAATCCCTGAAAAATTTATCATTATGATTTTGATCAGTTAATTGAAAAAAAAGATCATTACAAGTTTTTTTTACTTACAGAATATGTTGTTCCGAAATCTAAATAAATACAATAAATAAGAAATAGTGTTTCTCACTTTAAAATTCCCATTTCAACAAAATAAACCACCTCATTACCTATACAAACAACTACACGGATATCATTGTTCCAAGAAGACGAAGACATTCTCAAGATAACAAAAAATATGGTATATTTAATTAAAATTAAAAAAATAAAATGGTATTTTGTATTTGGAAAAATAAAAAGTAAATCGTGTGCGTCACAGTGCAGATCATTAATTTTGTATTCTTATTGAAATATAAAACATTGACCATTTCAATAGAAAATGCATGTGTTTTATCATTTAAAATATTTTCACACCAGATATTGGCAACCAAGTATAAGTTTCTGCCAATATTGATAAATTTGATAAAATATGGTTTTTTTCCCTCCAATATGAATTTAAGTCAAAATCCATACCATAGATTTCATCAAGAACACAATAAAATACTCATTCTGCCATTAAATCATTTGATGAGTCACCAAGTTCTGACATAGTGTTATATAAACTCATGTCATGATGTGAATTAGAAAATTTAAATACTGAAGGTCAAAACATCATATGGATTGATTGCTAAGTAATTATTGATGTGTTTCTCAAATTTTTTTAAAGCAACTTTATATGCTTCTGAAAAATTTTTTTAAAGATAATTGAGATGAATTTGATTATTTTATGATTTGTCTAACATTTCATTGCCAAATAGTGGATTATTGACACCGTTATTTAACATAACACTTGTTTGATCTAATGGTTTATTCCAGGGTTGGCAATAGACTGGATCCATCAAGACCAATGGGTTTTGGTCCAGTCCATTGCCATTAATAAAATACTAAATGGTTAAAATGCTACACAAATGGACTGATAACATGGTCAATCCTGGTTTATTCCAAATTCAATACCTGTAACAAATTTATTATTGTATGAATTAGTTAAAAGACTATCATGGATGATTAACATTTTGTATGGATAACTTTAAACTTGCTTTTTGGCATTAAAAGCTCAAAAAAAATTTACAATTTCTAAATAAATTATATTGTTTTGATGAAACAAGGTCTTTAATTGTCCTACTACCATCATTTATTGCTGATTCTTCAAGAAAAAATAACCAATATGAGGACATAACCAGAAGACCAAGAGCACCATCTTGCTTTTACTAGAAGTGGTGATGGAGTACTTTTATTTTGTGTTGAGGAAGTTGATATTAGAGTTGCCTTTCTAAACTACCTTTGAAACTGAATTATTTCTAAAGTGATCAAGTCATTTAAATTTCTTCATTTAAATTTAATCTGAGAATTAAAGGTCCGTTTGAGATAATTTCCGCGAATCAATTATTTTTCCGATTTTCTTTTCATGCAAGTTTCTATTTCGTAAATCGAAATCATTTTAATTAAATTGATAAAAATATAACAATTCTTATTTGTTCTAATATAATTATTTTCTTCTTAAAAATATATATAATCTGATGTAGATATAAATAGTTCATCAAATTCAAAAAAACATGGCGTGCAACCAAAAAATGCAGTTTGGCAATATTTTGAATGTTATCCTTCAAAACATCCGGGACATTTTGGAGTCAAACGCAAAGCATGTAATTGTGAAAATAAAGATTAAGAATATTTATTTGATTTGGGATTGTTAGGAGTTTCGAAACAGTTTATCTCATTTTCTAAACCAGTTTAGAATGGTTTTAATTTCGAATAATTCTAAATTCAAGAGTTTCGGAAGACAACTTTAGTTGATATTGAAGAAGAACTTGAAATCAATGATGATGGCATTATTGGTGATGATGAGAATGTTTCGGATGGAAATAAATAGCATTTCTAACTAAGAATTCATGTCATCTTTTTCTAGCACTAGGATAAATGAATGCCTTCTTAATATTTTTAACTACATCATTGACAATGTTAAACTCTTTGAAATCAGATCAAGTTTTTCCAACTAAGTTATAAATATAAGCCATGCAACAGTTATGGATTAAACTTGAAATTAAAAGGTAAAGAATAAAACGAATATATCGAAGGCCAGCCAATCATATTACGGACATGTGACCTCGTCTCTTTTTAATAGCAACAGATTTTTGACGAAAGAGTTAAGATTTTCTAAAGGTGTAGAAAAAATTCAAGGTATATATAATTGACGTAATATGGAATAGCATCACCTTGTTTTCTAAAAGATTAATAATCAACTTTTTTTTAAGGAATACCTACTATAATAGTCGCAGGACATTGCAAATCAAATGTCATTCAATATAAACGTTACACGAATAAAATTATTATCGTCCACTTCAAAAAAAAAATTCTCCGTTTTTCATATAGCAAGCGGTTTTCAACCATAATAAAATTTTTAGAGCCAGACTAGAACTTTCTAACAACAGTTAAAAGAAAAGGTTAGCTTAAATATTGGTTATTCTACGCCAGGCTCGAAGTGTTTCTTTTCTTCACACTTATTTTAAGATTTTCTTCCAACTAGTATGCAGACTAAAACAAATTCAGCGGCAACAGTTGCGCCAAAGTGTTCCCCACAAAGTCGCTTATAAGTACTTGAAAGGTTGTGTTAGAAAAATTTTGACTTTAATTATAAGTGACTGATTTATAATTATTTATAGGTTATTAATTTATTTATAATATTAATTGATGAAATGAAACTATCATAGCAACACTATAATAAAAATTCTTAAAAGTTAAGTAGCTTATTACTATTACTATCATGAATATAATAAACAAACCTTGGTTTTTTACAAGTATAATCTGTAATATTATTTATTAATAAAATTGTTATGCAATCAAAATTAGATTTTATATATATCGGAATTAATGAGAGTGGATATAGCAAATGAACCTTTGTTTTTTACAAATATAATCTTTATTTATTAACTGCTAACAACAGTTAAAAGAAAAGGTTAGCTTAAATATTGGTTATTCTACACCAGGTTCAAAGCATTTCTTTTCTTCACACTTATTTTAAGATTTTCTTCCAATTAGTATTAGTATGCAGACTAAAACAAATTCAGTGGCAACAGTCATGCCAAAGTGTTCCCTACAAAGTCGCTTATAACTACTTGGAAGGTTGTGTTAGAAAAATTTTGACTTTAATTATAAGGACTGCAAATAACTTTAACGTAAATATAAATTTATATTAATTAATACTAATTCATTTATTAAATATTTTAAGATATGTATGTATTAAGGAAAAAAAATATATATTTATTAAATATTTTAAGATATGTATGTATTAAGGAAAAAAAAAAATATTTATATAATAATAATAAAATAATTATAACTCCATTTCTGTTTGATTTTTTTTTGATTTTCTTCGATTAGGTCCAAGATTGTGTCTCCAATATTCTTTCACTTTTCTTGCATTCCAATGATTTGGATTAAGCAAGAGTAATGAGTTCAATACAGGGTCAATTTTATCCATTGATGGCATCTCATTAAATGAAGCAAGGTTTTCAAGAATTTTTTTTTCATCCTGAGATGGTCTATATCTTGTATTTTTTGTTGGTAGAGGTTGTTCAAGATCTGTTGAAGGAGGAGGTATGTTGGAGGAGGATTCAATAGTTGTATTTACTATTTCAATGTCAATTATCATAGGATTAATTTTTTTTGGTTGTTTGGCTTTTTTTAAATTCTTTTTCTTTTCATTTATTTCTTTATTTAGGTCATTCCATTTGTACAAAGAAATGTCCTTCATACCAGTTCCTTTAATTGTTACATTTTGAAGTACTTCTCCATTTAACATAGTATAAAGCCGTTGAATTCCTTTATTATAACAGGTAAATATATTATTTAATCCTTCATCATTAAATTCCTTAACATCTTTAAACAAGGAATTTTCCAATGGAATTGTGCCATTAAATGTATTGTAGAGATCATCTATAAGTAACCAGAGACTCTCTTTACGACTATTAATTACTTTTTCACTTCTGGTATTAGATACATTGTCACCCAAAAACTCCAAAAAAAACACATTAATTCTTTCCTTCCTTGATTGCATTGATTTAATCTCCTTCATAAGATTTTCTTGTGAGGTAGGATTTTGACTTATATTCTGCTTAATGTATTTTATTCCATGTATTTCCATAGCTTCATCGAAGGCATAGTAGTGCCCTTCTCTTGACAAATTCACAGAACATACTCTTGACAAGAGATTCACTTGATCAGGATTTTTACAGAGGTAGGCAA